CTCTCTCTCTCTCTCTCTCTCTCTCTTTCCCTCCCCTCTCTCCCCCTCCCTCACCTCATCAGTGTAGATTGGCAGTGAGACAAAAGGGTTGACAGCCAACAGAATATCCCCGATGTAAGTGTAGATTTCGTCCGCGCTGTAGCGCAGCTCCAGCTGTTGCACTATCGTTTCCTGGAACAAGTTTGAGTCGGTTTGTTTAGAAAATTCCAGCGTCATTTATTTCTTTACGGGTAGGAGTATGTGTGTGAGTTCAAGAGGTGGTGGTGGTGGGGAGGGTTTATGTGTGTAGGTGTAGGTGTAGGTGTGTGTGTGTGTGTGTGTGTGTGTGTGTGTGTATGTGTGTGTGTGTGTACACGCGTGCATGTGTGTTTGAGGGTGTGTGTGTATGAGCATGAGTGTAGGCGCGTCTGTGTTTGTGTCTTTTTGTGTTTTTCTTTTTTAAGTAAGGTTTTACTGTGCTTGCAACTTGTAGTGAATGAACATTCATGTATGAGCGACCCTGTTTCCAATATTCTATGGCCATCCTTTTATTCATTTATAGGTTGGAGTGTGAGTGAGGGGTCATGCTGTGTGTGTAGCGTGGGAGGGGGGGGGGGTAGTAGGGAAGGAGCATTCATGTTAGAGTAAGCCTGTTTCCAAGATTTCATGATCATTTCTTTAATTACAGGCAAGAGTGTGTGGGAGCGGTCATGAGGTAAACGGGTGGGGTTTGGTTATGAATGAGCATTTATGTTACAGCGGGCCTGAGCATGTATGTGTGATAAAAAGTTACATTTCTGCTCATCTTTTAAAACAGATTATGATATAGCATAAAGGAAGCACTATGCACCTTCAACTTAACAGTCATGTTTTTCAGAGTTTCACACTTCAATTTAACAGAAGTAATTTAATATACATGTTCGGTAAAGCAGAACTTATTATATTACTGATTCGTTCATAAAAGCTCAGAATCAGCAAGTCAGAGCAGTGTAAATGTGGAACCGACAGCCAAACAGGAAATTGTATTCAGCAAGCCTGCCCGAAGCATGAAGCAATTAGACGCAAATATTGACCCAACTCGAGGGAAAGAGATCCAAAACTCTACGAGAGCCTGGGGGACAGGCAGCTAACAGCAGCCATCATCCTAGAGACGGGGACGCCCACTGAAAGATGGACGAGAAAGAGAAGATAATACTGATTCTTCTGATCACTTAAATCCATGCTCTCCAAGGAAAGCTCTTGTTTCAATCAATCCCCTGTGGAATGTGTCTCCCGAGTCAGCGTCCACTCATTATTCATCATATTTCAGGAGGACCAAGATGGAAAGTAACCAGCGTGTTGTTTGTCAGGCAACTTAATGACTTAATATGTTTCTTACATACTGATCAAAAGCTTTGCATGGTATTTCTCTAAGCACCTCAGAGTAATCTCCTGCCAAGGGTAGACAAATTGTGACTTATACTTTAAAAAACAAATTAATCTGCTTTCAATCTGCCTGTCAGGGCCAAACCGGGCTGAGTGCGATACACATGCCAGCAGAAGGACTGAGATACTCAATAAAAATTCTCTCCATACGAGAATCAAACTCAGACCCTCTGTGTGTTACGGTGAAGCACCTTACTGCTACACCACAATCACCAGTCATATAACTTTGCTAATGTCACAATTCAGAAAAAAAATAATCAATGAAAAAAACAGAAGCGCATCAATATATTGGTGCATCCACCTCAGGCAGGACGAATAGACCCAAATGTCAAGACAAGATTAAACAAGGCAAGATAAAGATAATTATAAACAGTAAGAACAAGAACCGAGATACGGACTGTCAATACTAGTGTCATAAGTGTCCTCTTTCTTTAAGGATGGGAAACATAAATACTTATAAACCACATTTCTAAAAAGCTATAAAAGCATTTGTCAACCGTTGCTTAAGAAAGTTCCTAAAAATTCACGGAAAAAATATCCAAAAGACAGAAGCGCATTGATATATCAGTGTATCCACCTCATCTAAAACAATGAGAGACAGAAGCGTATCAATACATCAATCTATCAGCTCACACACCTCATCTAGAACCTCCAGCTGTGTCAGATTATCGGCGGTGGGCGGGCCCTCCCGTCTGGACTTCCTGTTGGGCTTGAGCTGGCCATGCTTGGTGGTCACTTCGGGCTCGGAGATTTTCCTCTCCATGTTGGCCGTCAGGCTCACCAGACGCTTCCGTAACTGTGTGTACAGTAGTGAAAACAATTTTTGAAACATAATAATAACAATAATAGTAATAATAATAATAAAGATAAAACTTTTAAAAAATAAAAATAATACTAATT